CTGCCTGCTTCTCCTGTCTGCACCTGCCTGCTTCTCCTGTCTGCACCTGCCTGCTTCTCCTGCCTGCACCTGCCTGCTTCTCCTGTCTGCACCTGTCTGCACCTGCCTGCTTCTCCTGCCTGCACCTGCCTGCTTCTCCTGTCTGCACCTGTCTGCACCTGCCTGCTTCTCCTGTCTGCACCTGTCTGCACCTGCCTGCTTATCCTGCCTGCACCTGCCTGCTTATCCTGCCTGCACCTGCCTGCTTCTCCTGTCTGCACCTGCCTGCACCTGCCTGCACCTGCCTGTTTCTCCTGTCTGCACCTGCCTGCCTCTCCTGTCTGCACCTGCCTGTTTCTCCTGTCTGCACCTGTCTGCACCTGCCTGCACCTGTCTGCACCTACCTGCTTCTCCTGTCTGCACCTGCCTGCACCTGCCTGCACCTGCCTGTTTCTCCTGTCTGCACCTGCCTGCTTCTCCTGTCTGCACCTGCCTGCTTCTCCTGTCTGCACCTGCCTGCTTCCACTTTCCCTGAAACAGTAGATACCAATGTCCCTCAGAAAGCCCAGTCGACTCTCACAGGCAGGCAAGTTTACCTACAATGGACCTCACATCTCTCCACCATCTGGTACCCCTCCTTCCATGGCCTCTGTCCCTTCTTTTAAAGATGTTTCTATTAATTCTTGAGGATTTCATGCTATGTACTTTGATCACATTCACTCCCAGATCCTCCCAGATTTACCCCACCTTCCTACTCCCCCAACTTCATGTCCTTTTTATTTTTTATAATAACCCATCAACTCCAACTTGTGCTCTTCATAAAACTCCTGAGTAGGAGGCCATCCATCAGAGCATGGTTGACCTACTAGGAGCCATATCCTTAAAGAAAACTGACTTCCCCTCCCCAAGAAGCTATTGACTGTCCACAGCACTTCAGTTAGAGATAGGAGTGACCCCTATTCCTTCTACCAGCATTTTCCCCAAGCTTCATGGTCTGGAGAAAGGACTCATTTAAAAAAAAAAAAAAACTAGAGTGGGGATGATGGCCTATATAAAATGATGACCTGCAGAAAGCATATGTAGTTGAAGAACTAAATTGCTAACTGTGAAAATTTAGGCATATGGAAAGAAAAGGACTGAACGCCCGAAAGTCACTATAAAGCAGAGGGAGATCTTTAGAGGAAGGGGAATTCCATGATGCAAAGCATGTTCCCACAGCATGCCACACAGGTGGGAAGACAGCCCAAGCCATGCAAAAACCCTGTTATGCCACATCCCAAGCATGCTGGGGCAAGACCACGCTACCCAGGCGACGGATGGAGCTCCTGGTCTCCTTGGCGAAGCTGGAGTTGGACAAGGCTGTCCTCCGGGAAACCAGGACAGGAATGCGGGTGATTGTAGGACGATAGCTGGGCACATTGGGGAGGTGCTCAGCCGGGTTTGGGGGGCCGGGCCTGGGGCCCTCCTGGCCAGGTGGCTGGTCCTGGACCAAGCGATTCAGCTCCATATTCAGGCCTGGTTTAGCCATGGTATTGGGTCCGGAAGGTGGCAGGCAGAGGTGTGACCCTGGGGACTGTAATCAGGAGCTGAGTTGAGGAAGGTGGGGCTGGTAGGGCTCCTTCCAAGCACTGACATTGACCAAACTAATACCTGCCTGCTGTGTCAGCCCTGCCCAGGTCTGAAGCACCATTATTTTCCCCAATGCTCAACCTTAAAAACATCACCAAGTGACAGAGATGGTCCTCCCAGTAGCTCCAAGGCACTCCCTGGAGCCCTGGGTCTGCTGATCAACCACAGGAGTATTCCCCACGTCAGACTCAAAAGATGCCAGGCTCAGAATCCGGAGCTGAAAGACTTGGAACTTCAGAACCCAGGCTCCAATGTGCTGAGCTCAGAATGATTTTCCTTTTCAAAGAAACCCTGCAACCAATTTGTCTTTCTTCCAACCAGAAACAGACACAACGCTAGGGCTCTGGGTCAATGGGCTGCATGCTAGAATCCCTCGAAGAGGCTTATGTGGTCCTGATGCCCACTGATCCAGCTATCCAAGAAGTGGGACTCAAAGCCGTTGCCCCAAATGCCAACATGGAGACAAATCACCAGACAGGCAGACAGCAGGCAGATTCTGGCTCCGCGGGGCTTGGTGGGACCTGAATTCTACATTTCTAACCAGTCTCTAGGGGACACTGAGGCTGTCAGCTTGAGTAGCGATGGGCACGACTTTCCCAGGCTACCTGGGGAAGGGGACAGAGCCAGCCTGGTGTTCGGTTCCAGCCTTCACTTCTCTGTGGATGCTCAGGGTACAGTCTGGACACCATAGGTTCCCACAGGTGAGTGCTGATGTCAATAGAGAAGGCTTTTGAGTGACAGGCTGCCCCGCCACTCAGCCTGTGTGGGAGGTCCTAGTGCAGCCCCACTCCGGCAAAGCTAGCTCCAGGTCCCACGGCAAGGAGGAGCCGGAAGCCAATGTAGTCTATGCCTTCACTTTTTGCCTACCCTGGGACACATCACGCCTTAGTTTTGTTATCTGTGAAATAATCTATCAGCCTCATCAGGCACCTCAGGGGCCGGTAGCTTGAAGAACAGACCATGGAGGTACATTAGGAATTCAGCCATGCTGGCCAGGATGCGATCCTTCCAGGGGCACTGGCCCAGCCTCCTCCTTAGTACCCCATCCCTGAGGTTACCAAGTGTGGTAGTTTGAATGAAATAG